GTGTTCAGCACAGAGTTTTAGCAAAGCATATAGGCCCAAGAGTTTCAGTTGCATCGTTATTTAGAACAGATGGTGATGAGTCAATAGTCTATGGTCCAATCAAGGAACTGTTATCTGAAGAAAATCCACCAGTATACAGAGACATCTCCTTAAAAGAGTACACGACACATTATTATGCAGAGGGTATTGGAACTTCCGCATTATCACACTTCAAGTTGTGATTATGAACACTTTTGCATGCAATCTTGATGTTTTTTATATTATTCTAGTGAACTTTGGGACATGTCCTCAAGAATGGAAAACCAAAGCTATATTGTATTCTTCTCTGAAAAATTTATCCGTTTGGATTGCCAAAAAATAAAATTGTTTCTTTTTTATAATAATTATGCATCTTAGTTCTATCTACACAAATATCAATATGAAACAGCACTTGAATAGTTCTCAAGATTTAACTTGAATTGAAGAAATTCCTTATAAGTAAGGGAAATTCGGGAGTAGAAGATTAAGGGCAAATCCTAGTGTATAAAGTTTCACAACTTATGTGAGTAAGGGTGAAGATCAATTATATGTGATTTTACTTAAAACATTAATTCAACGTAAAAATTTTATATTATATTTTTCTAATAGGCAAAGAGATTATTTTTCTGACTCGAAACCGTGATCTTCCGATTAAAAAAAATAACATTATCACTGCTTCAAAACACATACACACAAAAGAATATACTGACAAAATTGATCTGTTAAAAGAGGTGCCAATGCTGCTTTTGGTTGCAACATTGTCACCTTCACCAAGTGAATGAGATGACAAAATTCTGTTTTATAGACACATCAATAAGAAAATAAAATAAAATCATTTACTATTTGATTAAGGAAAATGCATTTGTCATGTTACTTGATAAATGAATAGTTGTTATGTTAAGAAAAAGACAAGATAAATTTATTGAATAATGTGTCCTTTCACTTTTTTAATATTATATAATTTGTCTTTTTCTTAACATAATAACTATTCATTTGTCATGTAACTTCACAAATGCATTTTCCTTTGATTAATATGTAACTATTTCCTAAATTTTAACTTCAATTCAACTATATTTTGGAAATTCCTTATTCGTCAAAAGAAATAGAATAACATTTCTCGTATTTTTATGTATGTGTGTGTGATAGCCACAAATTGTATTATTTTCAAGGTTACTTTTTGTAACCATATCTTAAACCGACTAACAGTTCTTATCTTGCTATTTTTCTCTTCTTCTGCTCTTAACTCTAAAAACAGAAGGAACATGGGGTTTTATACTACGACTCTGAAAGGCTGCGTGAGCTCAAAGCCTTTGATGACATGAAAACTAGTGTTAAAGGCCTTGTTGATGAAGGGGTTGCAAAGATACCAAGAATATTTCATCATCAACCAGATAAATTTGTGAAGGCCTCAAATTTAGGCAACACAGAACACATTATTCCTGTTATAGACCTTGCAGGTGTTGGCAAAGATCAAAGTACAAGCCGAGAAATAATAGGCAGAATAAGGGAAGCATCTGAGACATGGGGTTTCGTTCAGGTTGTCAATCAAGGTATCCCTGTGATTGTTTTAGAGGACATAAAAGATGGGGTGCAAAGGTTTCATGAACAAGATAATGTCATAAAAAAAGAGCTATATACCGGTGATCAAACTAGGCCATTTGTTTATAAATGCAAAAGTTTGATATGTATAGTTCCCCAGCACTCAATTGGAGGGATACTTTTGCTTGTTACCTGGCACCTTATACTCCCAAAGCAGAAGATTTGCAGGTAAGTCCATGTTTCTATACCGTCCCAAATTTTAGGCCAGTTAGATCAAGGTATATTTAGCTTCAGAAGTTATATTTGTATGGCATTAATATACATGAAATCTACAAAGAATCATCGGCTCATTGAACATTTTGTCCTTGTTTCAATTTTTTTTTATCATTTTGCTCCAGTTTGACCAACCCCCACTCCAATAAGTGACTTACCAAGGTACACTCTTTATAGTTGTAGAGCAACAAGAGATGAAAGACTTAGTAAATATTGTGTATATATATACAGCCTGAAATACATGATGTGTGACTAAGTCCCTTATACTACTTCTACTATATACAACACTCTTCCTCAAGCTGGAGCGTATACATCATAAGCACCATGCTTGTACATATATACTTTATTCGAGGACCCCTCAAAGACTTAGTAAATACATTTGTTAATTGATCATTAGAGGGTACAAAACTGGTCATAATTTCACCAGAAAGGACCTTTTCTCGAACAAAATGATAATCTATCTCAATACGCTTGGTTCTTTCATGAAACACTGGCTTGGTTATCACAAAGGAGAGTTGCTGGTCTAGTGTCTCCAAACTTGAGTTCTCCAAGAAGTTGCTTTAGCCAAATGAGCTTGCAAGTAGTAGTAGCCATGGAGCGATACTCTGCTTCAGCACTTGATCTCACAACTACATTCTGCATTTTTCTTTTCTAGGAAACCAAGTTACCTCTAACGAAGACACAATATCCAGTAGTAGATCTCCTACTAGTAGGACAACCTACCCAATCAGTATATCAGAATATTCGACAACTTTAACAAGACCTTCAAGGCCTTTTCTCGGAGATGCCTTGACATACTTGAGAATACAAATGACGGCATTCTAGTGTTCTTGACACAGAGAATTAAGAAACTGACTTACCATACTAACTGCAAATGAAATGTCAAGCCAGTGATTGTGAGGTAGTTCAGTTTTTCAACCAATCTTCTATACCTTTTAGGATCTGAAAAAGGCTCCCCCTGATTCGGTAAAAGCTTGACATTGGGATCCATAGGAGTATCAATAGACTTGAATTCAATAAAGTAGTCTTTTCAAGAATATGCAAAGCGTATTTCCTATTAGATATCAGAATTCTATCTTCAACTTGGGGCACCTCGATTCCTAAGAAATATTGAAGTTTCCTATAAGATCCTTGGTCTGAAAATGATGACATAAATGTTGCTTCAACAGAGTAATCTCATGAGTATCCTTACTTGTGATGACAATATCATCAAGATACACCAACAAGTAGATAGACCCGAAAGCTGAATGATCATAAAAGAGGAAATTATCAGCCTCACTCCGAGTCATATCAAATTGTTGAACAATAGTGCTAAAATCTATCAAACCAAGTTTGTGGAGATTGCTTGAGACCATATAGAGACTTGCGGAGATGACAAACAAAACCCAACTCCCCCTGAGCAACAAACCTAGGAGGTTACTCTATATAAACTTCATTCGCAAGATCACCGTCAAGAAAAATATTCTTAATATCAAGTTGATAAAGAGGTCAGTGGCGGATAGCAACCATGGCAATCAAGAGGCGAACATAAGACATCTTTGCCACAGGAGAAAAAGTGTCACCATAAAGACCTTTATCTTCATTTTACCATCAGGATCAACCTTTACAACATAAATCCACCAACAACCAATAATAGACTTTCCAGAAGGAAGAGGAACCAGATCTCATATGTCATTATGCTGAAGAGCACACATCTCATCAATCATTGCCTGTCTCCATCCGAAATGTGAAAGAGATTCACCTGTAGTCTTAGGAATAGACACAAGACAAAGAAGAAAGACATGCAAAATATGATGGAGTAAGACGATGGTAACTAATATTAACCGAATACCTGGCTAAAGGGCAAGTATCACATGTACCTTTATAGAGACCAATAGAAAGGTCACTAGCCAAAGGTGGGACCGAAGCCGAGAGAGGAGATGCAGTAGGATGTGAGCCCATAGAAGTATCTGGAGAAACTGGGAGTAGGGAAGCAGGTTGCAACTCAACTGGAGAAGAGGTGACCGAAGGAGAGTCAGACACAGGGACTAGTGAAGGCATAAGGTAGTCAAAGGAGGCGACAGAGAGAGATGACAGAATAGAACCAGAGTCCACAGGATCAGTAATGGAGCCAAAAAACGGAACTGATTCAAAGAAGGAAACATCTGCCGATATAAAGTATTGACGTAGAGTAGGAGAGTAGCAACGATACCTTTTTTGAGACCGAGGATAACCCAGAAAAACACATTTATGAGACTTGGGAGCTAGTTTATCTAAACTAGGACCGAGATGATGAACAAATCACGTAGAACAAAGACATGTTGGGACAAAGGATATAAAGGTTGATGAGGGAACAAAACAAAGTGAAATACCTGTTGATGAAGAACAGAAGAAGGCATGTGATTAATGAGATAGCATACAATGAAAACAACACCATCCCAAAACATGTAGGGAACATTGCCATAAGTGGCGGACCCATAAAATTTTATTTATGTGTGCACATTTAGAGACGGGGGAACGAGGGCAGTGTCCGTTAATATTTTTTTAAAGAAAGTTTTAAATGTATTAAAAAATAAAAGAATATAAATAAGAAAAAAAAAGAAAACTTCAATTTAACATAAAAAGCTAGTAATTAAAAGTCAACTAAGCTGTTACAAAATAGATGCATGTTAATCCTTTTGAGGGACTAATGTGGGTTTTTTTTTTAATTTCAGAGAGACCACGATTTCGACTAACTGGGTCAATTTTGGAATTTCGAGGGAATCGACTTTTTTTCTAAGGGATTAAATTGTGTCGCGTAATTTTTGTTGAAAACCGAAAATGTACTTTACTCTCTTTCCCCCCCAAATTTTTATGTGTGCACTTGCACACAATTGCAAACACAAAGGTCCGCCAATGATTGCCATCAATTAACAATGCACATGTAATTTAGAAACCCTAATCTTATGTTTATATAGGAGTTCAATGAGTATTATAGCCATTTATGACCATTGGACTATTAAAATTGCAATGTATATTTACATTGATGATTATTTATATTATAAAAAAAGAGAAATAATATTTACAATGAAATATTTCTATAAGTTCGAGAAAATAATTATTAATTATATGATAAAAAAATCAGAAATAACACTTAAAAGGCTAGTATAAAATTGAGGGGGTGATTGCCCTCCCTTATTCCACCACTGGATAACAATATCTACAAAATATAAATAGAATATCATGGATATGACAAACTGTTGGGTTGTACAGTTCAATATCTCACTTGCAAGACATATGCGATACCACAAATTTCTAGTCCTAGAATAAGAACCATAATCATATTGAATTTGATATATGCTATTATTTTCAACTTACACAGTTTATTCATTTATTGTGTAAATAAACCACCTAAATCCACATTATCCAACTCAGATCCTGAAATGTTGAAGAGCAGAGGTCCCATCAAGGCCTTTTGCAGTGTAGTAGGCTGAAAAATCCGTAACTGTGGTTTCTCTGTATTTTGGAGGATTGTCTTCTGATAATAACTCTTTTATAGGTCCATAGAGCTTCGATGATGGTTTAACATCTGTGCTGAAAAAGCATGCAACAGATATTCTTGGACCTATGAGATTTGCCAGCACTCTGTGTTCCGCACTCTTGAATCTGTCATTTGTTACGAGCTGCACTTCAACAAAATTAATAAATAGCTGCATTCATATTAGTTCATTTCACATATCATAAGAATTTGTTAAGTTTCAATTTCATACAAGGCTTTTTGCTATATATCCGGTAAAAATATTAATGCAAATAAAGTATTGTTACTAATAGGTTAAGTTTTTCTCCAATCACGTGAGAGGTAAAGTTAGCTTCTACAACCTGAGCACCACCATAACTTATAGGGAAATATAAGAATCATGTTGCAGGAATGGCACTGTTCATTCCTGCAACAAGGATCCGCTTCCGTATCTTAAGGATACGATGTCGTATCCTGATTTTGGTCTGACTTTTTTTTTTAAGCGTGGGACCCACACTTGATTTGTGTGTGCAGGAAAGTGCTCTAGTCATGTCACATGACAAAAAGCGAACCCTAACTTATACTAGCCAATTTAATATATCATGGTAAAATTTATTAGTTTGTAGCAATGATGCTGCAGATTCAATAAGCATTCACAATAACTGTAGCAGGAAATAAACATTCAAAATAGCAACAAAGAACTTGCCTGCAGAAAATCACCAATATTAACTATAAGAGCCCCAGGTGCTGGAGTTATATCAATCCACTTATCTTGGTAAAGAATCTGGAGGCCACCAATATGGTCCTGGAGAAGCACTGTGAGAAAAGAATTATCTGAATGTTTGGTTATTCCAATAGTCAATTCAGGTTCAGGGCATGCAGGATAGTAATGGCAAAGTGCAAGAAGCCCCTCAGCACAACCCATGTCTTTCAAATGGTCTGAATGCAGCCCAAGAGCTTCTGATAGTAATTCAAAGAGTGTAATTCCTAGTTTCATCACATTTGTCCCATATTCCAATACTATATCCCTACAAGAAGATGCAGCCAACAAACAATTAAATGTCTTATAATAGAAATAGAAAGTTTAACTTTGGATCTTCTTCCACTTTGTAACTTAACTTGCATTGGCTTGTATAGCTGTTTGTCTAACTTCCTGTCACAGCCATTGTTCGATAATGATGGATCGAGGTTGTTGTAGAATTTGTAAGCTAACAGTATTTATAGAAGAGACAATCGTGTGTAGTGATAAATAAATCACTGTGCACAAACAATAGGGAGAGAACGAGAGAGGTGTGGGTGCATGAACATTGATAGCAAGACGGATTAGGGCTTTAAGAGACATACGTGGGTTAAGAGGGGTTTACCTGATACTGTCGAGGCCCGGGATAAGGCTCATTAAGCAAGACTGATGGATCCATTATGTGAGTCCAGAACAACCATGATTAGTAATTCTTCACATTCACAAGTGGGAGACACAATTTATAGTGTATTGTGCTATTGGGAGGTTCTTAGAATCTGATGGGCCTATGGGCTGAAAGGGAAGGGGTGATAGAATAAGTTAGTTAGTAAGGGAAATTATTTTAGAATAATACTAGAGAATATGATAAAAGGAGGGGAGAGAGTGTAGTGAGGTAGGCATGTATTGAGCATTTGGTGAGTGGGGAATTTGGGAATCTCTTGGGAACTTGATAGAGACCTGGACCCTCGAACTGGAGGAGAAGAGGCGAATTCACAAGGCATCCAGGGAACAATAGGGGTAGATGATATAGAGAAGAGAGAAGTCGTTCAGCTAACGAGAGGTGACAGAACCAGGATTCAAAGTAGGTGGACCAAAGACTATATGATGGACACACGTGGCTAACAGGTGTCAAGACCAAGAGGATGGAACCGCTCAGCATATATGACTTGGGCTGAGTGTAGTCATTAAATCAGTAAATGTATTTGGGCCTTTGTAATTAGTAGCCCACTTCGTAATTCTGTTGAGTATAATAGATGAGAAGGTTACTGTTAGGGGTTTAGCTAAAATCTGTAACAAACTTTGTCTTCTTCCTCATCTCTTATTTTCTGGAGTGATCAGCAAACTCGAATTGCTGAATTATATTTGACGTTTGATTTCTTGATTTCCTTGTGTTTGAGAATCCATAGCTTGAGGCTATTAGAACTCTTGGAGCCTAAAGTAGTTGGTTCTAAGGGAGAGTTGAGGTCTTTTGGTGTTTTATTCTCTATTGTATTGTTATTCTTTTTGTATTTGTATAGTTTGTAATTTCAGTTTATCAAAGTGTATTTTCCCGGTCACACAGTGTGATAGGTTGGAGTCGTTTCTTTGGAATCAATAATTAGGGAAATTGTCATCAATTTGTAGTTAATTGATTCGAATCAATGAAATGTTATTGCTGTCATTATGGAAATGTTGCTGTCCTGTTTATTTGTCTCTATTGAGCTGAACAGGTGCTGTTAAATAATCCATATACGCATAGGTACCATCAGAATCTTATTTAAGAACCATGGATGATTCTTTGTAGATTTCATGTATATTAATATCATAAAAATATAAACTTCTGAAGCTAAATATACCTTGATCTAAGCGGCTTAAAATTTGGGACAGTATAGAAACATGGACTAACCTGCATACTACTGGCAAGTCTTCTGGTTTTGGAGTATTAGGAGCCAGGAAACATGCTAAAGTGTCCCTCCAATTGAGTGCTGGTGAACTATACAGATCAAAGTTGCTATTATACACAAATGGCCCAGTCAGATCACGGGTATATAGCTCTTTTTTAACCTCACTGTCTTGTTCATGAAACCTTCGCGCCCCATCTTTTATGTCCTCTAGAACAGTCAAAGGGATGCCATGATTAACAACCTGAAAGAAACCCCATGTCTCAGATGCTTCCCTTATTCTTCCTATAATTTCTTGGCGTGTACTTTGATCTTTGCCAACACCTGCAAGGTCTATAACAGGAATTATGTTTTCTGTGTTGCCTAAATTTAAGGCCTTCACAAATCTATCAGGTGGATTATGAAATAAGCTTGGGATCTTTGTAACCCCTTCATCAACAAGGCCTTTCACACCAGCTTTTGTATCATCAAATGCTTTGAGCTTACACAACCTATCAGAGACTTGCTTAACTGTTCCTGCAATTTCATGTGTAGTAGAAAACTCCATAGAACAAGAAGAGAAAAATAACCAAGAGAAGCACTCTTAGTTGGTTTAAGACAAGGTTACAAAAGGCAACCTTGAAAATAACACAATATCATATGTAGTTATTATAGACACGGCCTTAAGGGGACTTTGACATCCACATATGTATAATATGCACAAAAAGACAAGCGTTACATCAGGGATTGGCAAGTGCTGATCAAACAAATGACCATAAAAAAAATGCAAATAATACAAATAACGCATACCATATAAAAGGATTTTAAATGTGCCCACTTGCCAATGTTTGGAGTATAACGCATACCATATAAAAGGATTTTAAAATCACACCCAATTATACAAATAATATAATCCTTAATCTTAAACTACACATGAATGGGGAGAGGGTGGTCAAGACCCAGATTAAATACTCAATATTAAAGTTTATTATTTATTGTGCTAATCTTTTCTTTAGGTAGTTGATTTATTAAATCCAAGTTGTCACAATAATTTAGTTTTCTTATATGTAAAGCATCTTGGGAAAGATAAAAGGATACCTTAGTTTATTTTTCATCAAGGAAAACTGAAATGAAAATCCTCTTCATTCTATCTACTCCTCCCTGATCCCCTCTATTTTGAAGACTTTGTGTGTTACAAGTCTCGGTTGTATGAGTAATTAATGTGAGATGTATATGGCCTTGAGCACTCTCACTCTTTGAGCTAGCTTTTAGGTTGGTGACCTCAATGCCCGTAACAATTGGTATTTCAATGAGAGTTGAGGCTACGGAAAGGGCTACCTATAGGCTAAATTAAGGTGTTATACCTCTCAAAGGGGTATTGTACTGAATACTAATAAGTGAATGAAGCTGCATCCCAAGTCGAACGACGCCAAATTTAACGTGAGCCATCAAACTCACGCAAACTAAATAAACAAGTTCAATAAAATTTGTAATATAATGGTGAACCTGGATTGTATTTCATTCATGGATTTTACACGAGTCTATATCACTGGTTAAAACAGAAAATTAAGGGGGATTTTTTAAATTTTTTTGATTAAAATAAACAAGTAAAATGAGATTTTTTAAAGTAAAGGCAATCAACCAAGAATTAGGATTCCATGGACATTCGTCATTGAATGAATAATTACCAATTTTGTTATTGACCCTAAACAAATCGGAATCCCTGCATTCGTATAGAAACCCCTCTCTAGGCGATAGCCTATCTTTTAGTTGAATATGGCGCATTAATCAACCTATAACCGATAAATATAAAGATTAATCTTTTTCCAAGAATGCAATCACGTATCTCAGATTCAACATCCACAATCGCGCAATGTTCAATCTGAGTTGGGAAAGGAAAAAAAATCGGTCAAAGGGGAGGAGTAGGTCCTCTGGATTCAACCATGAAATCCCCTTGGGTTGATTAAAGTGGCGCTTAGCCTAGCATGACTAAGTAAGGCAAAACGAAACTGATAAAGAAGAAGACGAAGAGCATAAATGTAAAATTGAGATCTTCTCCAATGTCGTCAATCGTACAAATCTAAAACGAAGACCGTCGAATGTTTCCTAATTTCGCCCTTTTAACCCACATTCAAACTGGATTAGGGCTCCACTAAATTCGGCTCATAATTAAAATAAAATAAAATCAAAGTAATGGCCTTGGGCCTCGTGTACAATGGGTTTCTCAAGACAACTAAAAGCCCAACTAATTAAATAAATTCCAACACTAACGTCCTACTTGGGCTCCAACTTCCACCATCTTTTTCTCCTAGTTGAGCTTTCATGGTTGCATAACATTTGTAGCCATTTGAATAATCTGCAAAAAGAGACAAGAATGAGATCAATCGGACACCTGTAGCAAGAGCTATGATCAAAGTACTGCAGCAACGAAAATTTGGAATTTTAGGACAAAAACGAATTAAACCCAATAAAAAGCCTAAAATCCAATTTAGCCCAAAAGATCATTATTTACTCACCAAATAATCCTAAAAATAATAATTAAGAGTAACAAATAAGTGTAATAAAATATCAATTATCAAATCCCTCAACACTTATTTTTTTGCACTCTTGAATAAAATCAAGACTTGAAATAAACCAAGAGAAAATAAAACCAAAGACTAAAAGATTAACATATCCTTTCTAACAATTGCCAAGAATACAAAGATATGAACAAGGATCACAATGCTTCAAAAGATCAACCAATGAAGATAAAAATTCATTCATCTCAATTTACAGAACCTAGTAATCTCAATTGATAATGCTGATTATGCAATATGGTCTCTCAATGGATGCTATCAATCAATCTCTCAAGTGTATGAGGTAAATAAGTGTATCACTCAAATTTTATCCAAGAAAATTGTCCTACCATAGGTTTGCTCAAGTTCTATTTGTCCAGTACTTAAAAAAATGCATCGGCAAATCAAGAAGGCTTTTATTCAAGGTTGTAATGGTGCTAGAGTGAAGATGTGGATGAGTATGGGAATGAGAGGCTAAGCAACCAAGAAAATTAAAATAGCACTAGTTAAAAACTAAATTAACGAAACATAACTAAAACAAAAAACAAAAACAAAAATAAAGCAAGGGAAAAACAAAGATGAAGAGTAATAAAAAACACAAAGTCACTCGAAGGGAAAAGGGCTACCACAGAGTAAGTGGACGTTGGCCCTTAAAGGAAGCGACAATGTTATGAGTCCCTTATTAGTTGTATGAACAACTAATGTTGGGTTTATAAGGTCTTGGACATTCCCACCCTTTGAGCTAACTTTTGGGGTGTTGAACTCAAGGTCCGTAACATTATAGTTGCATTTTCATAATAGAATTGTAGAATATAGAGAGTGTTGCGAAATCGGTAAGTATACCGTTCGTTTCAAGTGATAAAGTGATAAGTAAGATATCGTTCTCTCGAGGATTAATGCACCAAATATTAAATTAACTATTCCCCTTGAATTGGAAGAAAAGAATTCAGTTTGATTGTGAAAATATTTTGTGAGTGTAATTTAAAAACAGAAATTTAAAAACAATAATATTCAAAAGTATGCAAGAAAAGATCAAGAAGTCAAAGAAAATATGAGTTATGAAAAATTGTAAAAGAACTGTAGCCAGGATGCACTTCACCTTCGATCCTCCCTTATATTCCTAAATTGAATTTTATAATTAACTAATTTATTTTCTCAGACAATTCATTATTTTCCTATTAAATAGTTGAACCCTAATGTCTTAGTTATTTTAACCCTTTAACCCAATTAGAATCCTAGTGTCCTAGTAATTCCTCTTGAACTAAGCATTAAACAAATGAATTATAAGTCTACAATCTATGTAAGTCTGCATTAAGCAAATGAATTATAGGTCATGCACAAATTGTTATTCTACCCTTGTCCAGTTTAAAATCCCAATATGTATATTGTGAGTCCTAACCCTCAAAACTCTATAATAGACGATCAATTCTATCAAGGATATGGAAAAATTAACACAGGAAGAATAAAACTAACTAAACTAATTAATTTATAAAAATAATATAGAAAATATAAAGGATTCACATTGGGTTCGTGATCCCAACTACAAAAAGAAATTAGTCAGACATATCTGGCTTTAACAAATTAAAATAATAAAAATTGTTCATAAAAACAATAAAGAAGAAGAAGAAGATGAAGCAGAGTCTTCGGTCTTCAACTTCGTTGGTATTCCTGATCTCCAGCGTGAGCCTCCAAGAATTCTATCAATTCTCTCCAGCAAAAGATGATTGTCTCTAGGGTCTGAGTCTTTATTTATAGACTTTGCGCCCTTGTCTAGAAATCTTGATCATATCTTCAATGTGTATCTTGGGTCCAATCTTCTCTGATATAATCTGAGATAAGTTACTGATTTTCCCGTACCTCCCGCGCTATTAGCGCCAGTTTCGCGTTGATAGCGTGGGAATTTTATTTAGCATACTGCAGCTCCGCGCTGACAGCGCGGTTGGCTTGAATAGATGGCACTGCTAGCGCTAGTGCCACGATAGTAACGTGGTGGTTCTGGATCAAAAAGTTCTTCTGGCGCTACTAGCGCCAGTTCCGCACTAATAGATCGGGGCTTCATATTTGCTCTTCCAATTTGGGCTTCTTTTTGTCCTGTTTTTCTACAAAATTATAAAAAAATCAGTGACAAGATATCTGATTGAGATTTATCAATTTAATATCAAATCTAGCCCTTTTTATCCAAGATTGATCAAGATTCTTTATCTTTTTGGCTTAAGATCATATATATGCTGGAGACATATCAAACAATTCTTAGATTTGAACGTTGCTGTCCTCAGCAATGTACCAGATCAAAAATAGAAGTAAGGATAATTTCTGTGAAGAGAAAAACATGGAACACAATTATCTTAAGAGATCAGACTGCTATGCATGTATAACTTCCTGTTAAAACTTCAAACAATGCTTTTCAGTTTTATCAAGAAATTCGAATTATAACTTGAATGTTCCTCACTAGATAAATATATAACTCTCATCACTCTAGTGTTTGATGGGTTCACACGCATTCCATCATTGTAGTAGTAATTCCATAAGCTTGATCATATTCTCAAGTTCCTAAGATTGAGGAACCCATTTGACATGCATAGACTGATCAAAAGGTCTTTGATAAGTTATAACTTGGCCTGGTGTGGGGGTAAGAATCTTTTGGACAGAGACTGGTTAATTTGAGAGACTGAAATACTGAGATTTTTGATAATACTTCCTTCTTAGTCTTTAATTCTGTCACTTTTCGTCGTTTCGGGATTCTTATTCCATTTTTCACTACTTTTTTTCTTTTCTTTCCTTGTTTGCAGATGTTTTCTTTCTTTTCTCTTTTGAGCTGCATTTTTGCATACCATTCTTCTTTTTCCTTTTTTCAACTTACTAAACTTTTCTTTTTGAGAAGTACCTTGATTTTTTTCTTTGGATCAGCATTTCAATCTCCTTCAAGGTATGTCAATGGAGAAATGGTTAAATAATTTTTATCAGGTTTTTGAATAAACTGGTCTAAGGCTCAAAAGGGTTGAATAATGGAAATTTTCTAGGTAGTCTGTTTGGCTCTAAGTTAACAAGAATAAACATGCCTTT